AAAATAAAAAAAAAATAAAATAAAATACCATTCTTTCCCACCTTTACAATTTATTGGTTCGAATTAAGTTTTAATGCTCCACTAACCTGGGAAGGTCCCTGGGGACTGTATCTGATCTCACTCATCACTGCCTTAGGGTTATCTCATCCCCTCTGAGAGACAGTGAGAGAGCAATCCCGCACCTCAACACAGAAAAAGACCGAGTCCAGCAGGAGCTTGGTAGCCTCTCTCTCTGCAAGGCTTATGAGGAGAAGCATCCAGAAGCCTGGACGGGTCAGGTCAGGGCTGCAGGAAAAAGGCATGACCTTCACTGAATATGCTTGCCTCTGTGAGCACGGAACGGCGTTCTAGGCCAGGAGTTCTTAGAATCTGAAATGGCATAACATCTGTAAAATCTCAGGGACCAATGCACTTGGCTACCTATCCACTTGCCAAGTAAAAGTATTTAAAACCAACAAAAACCCCAATATACTATTTTTATCAACATTATTTCATCCAAAAGACGGTATTTTTACCGTCAAAAAATTAGGAAGGATCCAATATCACAATAAGAGACAGCTCTTTAACGTTTATTTATTTTTGGGACAAAGAGAGACAGAGCATGAACAGGGGAGGGGCAGAGAGAGAGGGAGACACAGAATCGGAAACAGGCTCCAGGCTCCGAGCCATCAGCCCAGAGCCTGACGCGGGGCTCGAACTCACAGACCGCGAGATCGTGACCTGGTTGAAGTCGGACGCTTAACCGACTTGCGCCACCCAGGCGCCCCAAAAGACAGCTCTTTAAACGGAATATAATTTGTGAAAAATTCCAGACTTGTCATTGCCTTATTTTTTGCTACCTTCAGGCTGTCACAGTCCACGCATGGGCACTTGGAAACCACATTTCTAGGTACTGAGGATGTCTTGGGATCTGTCTTGAGGTGTGTCCCTGCAAGGACACCTGATCTCTGAGTTATAAGAGGGGGCAGGGAGGGCACTGCAGAGCAGTGAGGAAAGCGCCCTCCTACATAAACCTTTGGGCCCAGGCAAATGCCACCAGCTCTAGAGAGACATCCCTTGTGATCTCAGGGCAAAAATCAACCGGTAGTTTCTCTCTGTCCCCAGCGAACATTGCTTGTAACCCCGTGTGGCAACTGGCATTAATCCTGCTTCGTATTCTGGTCGGTTTGTACACCTGTTCTCCTCAGCTCTGGGCATTGTCCCCTGGCCTTATATGTAGAAGGTTCTTAGGCATAGTCAGTCAATCAGATTGACTTCATCATCTTCTTTTTTCATTTTTTTTCTTTCTAGCGGTCCTTTCCTTCTTGCCCCCTTATTACCTTCCTGCCTTCTTTCCCTTTTACATCCATTGTTATCTCCTCCAGCTCCTTCCTGTTAGTACACAATTTTCCCCGTGGGCAGGGTCCTCTGGAATGCCGTACCCTGCCACTTCCCATCCATTCTGCAACTTCAGATATGCGGAATAAAGATAAATGAACTGTGACATTTGCCTTTTACATCAAAATACAAGAGAAGAAAACAAAAATGGAAGAGAAGATTGCCGTCAGACCACACATTTCCCATCCCCATTGGAAAACCGTGGCCTTTTTTCCTGCCAACAATGACCTTGGGGATCCAGTTAAATCCTGCCTGACGTTCTTAACATTCAGTACTTCTGTGTTTCTCACAGGGTGGGGGGGGCGGGGATGAGAAAGCCTAGGCTTTACCTTCCCTAAATCTGTTCCTGTCTCTGTTCTTCCTTTTTTGAATCCTCCCTATGCACCAATTATTTCCTGTTTCTTCCTCTCTTAGAACATTCCACCAGGTACCATCCTCATCCCCGGGTCCCCAGACCCCATCTTTTGAGCCTCAAGTCTCTCTGACTGCAGACTCCTTTTCCCTGGGCCACAGGGTCCTCGCTTTGAGAAGTTGTGTGAAGAGAGGATGGAAGCATTTGTGTCAGCTGGGAGTTTTTCCATGGATTTCTGTGGGGATGCGGAAGGTCTCAGAATCACCCAGTCTGTAAGCCTGGCGCACTCCGAAATGAGCTCTATTTCTGGGCCTGTCAGATGAAATGCTGTTGCTCCCGGTTATTTTTGGCTCTTTGCCCTTCTGAATAGGTGCATATTCAGCTCAATTCTACCCCCCGCCCCCCCCCGACCCTGAGCTGGGAAGAAGCAGGCAGCTTCCCTCAGCCAAGCCTCCTCTCGAGTCAGGAGCATTTGCCCCCTTAAGCAGCAGCTATCTCAAGAGTTCTGGACTGCGCAGCGGCTGTTTATGCCATGGCCAGGGGGGCAGCAGGGGAGTCCGCTCCCTGGCCCCCTCAGATGACTGATGGAGACCCTTGAGAGCCGAACAGCAGGTGCAGCCAGGTATCCAAAGCCTCCTCGTTCATACATACAAAGGTCTGCAACCTGCCCCACTGGGCCTGGCTGCAAAAACTTCTCCTTCCATCCTCAGGGCACCTGGGATGGCCAGGGGACATTTTCGGCTCAGTGAGCACAGAGATAGCTGTATACTGAGGGTCTGAGGAAGGAAGAACGCTGGGATGCAGAAGGTCAAGGGCATGTAGTTAGAAAAATATCTTCGGGTGAGCAGGTTGAGAAGCACATGTGTGTGAAAAGGGTGGAGGGAGGTTGGGTGTGAGTGTGCAGATCCACGTGGGACGGAGAGCGAGGAAGGACAGCGACTGTGCACCTAGGGAGTGTCAGTGTAAATAATTGAAGAGAGAGAGTGAGTACACCTGAGACCTTGGGGAAAGCGGATTGTATCTACAAGTCCTGACAATATTTTATAACTGCATCCTGCAGCTGAAATCGCGATCCTTAGACAGGCATTAACATCGACTTAGGGCTTTTAGTCTATCCGGTAATAAACAATATCAAGTGAAATGCAATGTCAAGATGAGCTGTACTTGCATGGACACTTAGTAAGGTCCATATAAAATCAAGAAAAGCATAGAGAAGAGGAAGCTAGCCGAGGGTTCTCTTAACAGCTACTTATCTCTGCAGCCTTTGAGTGAGAGACTTCTTTTGAAAGTTCTTACCACGTATCACTTTGACGCACTAATTCACTCAGTCCTCATGACAGCAGCAGCAACAGCAGCCTCGTTTTACAGACGAAGGAACTGAGTCATTTGAAAGATCCCAGGTCCAGGGTCATCACCAGGTGGCAGAGCTGGTTTGGTCCGAGCAGCCGTGCTCAAGGACCGGAGCTTCCACGACTCCACGAAACTTCTGTAGTGACATCGGGTGGTGGAGGGGCAAGCAGGTGTCGTGACGTATGTCCAGGGCTCGCACCTGGGTTTGAAACGCAGGTGTGTGTCCGGGCTTCATGGTGCCTGGGGACAGACACTGCCATGTCGGACACATCTGTCTGGGGCCATCCCGCCACTCCCCAGCTATGCTGCCTTTGCCAGGTCACGAATCCTTTTTTGAGCCTCAGTCGCCAGCCTCTGCAAAACTGGGGATAAAGTCACCGATCTGGCCATCCATGTGGTGTTGTGGGGGCCAGTGAGGTAGCATGGGTGAGGGTGCGTGGCAAATCGTCAAGCCCTAGACAAGACTAAAGCACTTCTTGTGTATTTTTCAAACTCACCTACTTCCAAAAAAGGCTCACAAAGAAAGGTCCATCCCTTGTAAGTTTATGAAAAACAGAAAATAAATAAATAACCTGTCAAGGGGTTAAGGATGACCCCACCCATGAAGCACATCTCCATTATAACCCTGGAGCGGGGGAGGGTATTCCCCCAGTATTTACCCCCCCGGGGGGTGGGGGGGAAAGCCAGCTGTCAACTCTTACCACCAGCAAGCCAGCCATGTGACGGGAGAGAGATGCTCAGACATTCCGACCCCCCCCACCCCATGTGGGCCAGACCTGCGAATGAGCAAATCATCCTGAAGGTTTATCCGGCGAGCCTTTACATGACTCGAACCCAGCCCCGCCCCGTTTGGCTGAAACTGCTTCAGAATCCCTAAGCCAGAACTGCCCGGCTGAGTCCTAGCAACTCACTGACCCATGAAAGGTAAAAATAAACTGTTCCGAGCCACTAAGTTTAGGGGTAGTTTGTTGACAACAGTAGGTAACTGAAACAGTGTCCTAGGCTAATATTATATTTTAACTCAACAGTGTAGTTCGTTTTGAGCTCCCTGGCATTCGAAGCAACAAGGGGAGCAGGATGGATTATATGCACTTCTTATCTTGAGTATTAGGATTTACCTGAAGGGCTATTTCATCTGACTCGTCTCCTTGTGGTCCAATCAGAATGAAAATTAAACTATCTTCTTACATTAGAATCTCTCCGGTCTTGACCAAAATTACGGTTGTGCAAATTCTGTCATCTGCCCTGCTAGAGCAAACCAAAGAATTACAGTTGTCGCGGACAACAAAATGTTCCTTGCATCTGGCCCAAATCTTTCAGACGGTAGCTCAAGCCTATTTTCTCCTGTTTGGTGCTCAGTGCCTCTTCTGCCTCCTGCCTCATCCCCACCCCAAATTAAGTCACAAATGGGCTCAGTGTCTCTGGGGTCCTAAGCAGCCAAAATTAATGATTAAAATAGAAATGCTGAAAATAGTTGAAACTGAAGCAGATTGGATGATTTATTCAAACCTTCAGGAAAAATTACTATTCAGCCCAGAATTGGAAATTGGATTTGTGGTTCCTAAGAATGCAACACTTCCCTAGCGCTAGCCCCCGAAAGGGAAAGGAAACAAACATGTAACATACCTCTGTGACCGTCTTTGTGTCCTTTAGACCCAGGCTCTGGGAGGTCAGGAACCGCATCTGTGTTCTGGGTAGTGCAATGTTTAATGCCTTATGGTGCTTATTAAAGCTTGTCTTCATTAAGTGACCTTCCAAGTCTACGATAATGAAACACATAAAGCTGAGTGTGAATCGGGGAGTTCTGTTCTCTCCAGTGTGACCTCGGTGAACAGGCGTTACCTGCCTGTGGGTCCCATTCTGGGAAGGCTGGTTAGCACGGGGGGTATTTGAGGTCACCTCACTTACGTAGAACCTGAATGAGGCCCAGCCAACCCTGTGAAGGTAGTGAACCTTGTCCTTGTGTCCTTGACCTTGTTTTCTGTAGTCTTCCCCCACATTTGTCTTCACACCCCTAAGCAGGACTTCCGAGTCCTCGTAGCAAACCTCTGTGTGGACAGCCTGAAGGGTAGCAGAGAGGAGCACTCTCAAATCCCAGCTGACTTCCTAATACCACATTTTTCTAAATACTTTCAAATCACCAAGACATTTCACATCCATATTTCAGGTCACTGTCTCAACAATTCCTGTGGAATCCTGGGGGATGACCCTGTTATGGGTTGAATTGTGTTCTCTAAAAGGATATGCTGGGGAGTCCTAACCCCTGGTACCTGCGCATATGACCTTATTTGCAAATAGGGCCTTCGCAGATGTAATCAAGTGAAGTCGAGATCGTTGGGTGGGCCCTCATCCAATATGACCAGTGACCTTACAAGAAGATGGAAATTTGCTCATAGACATGCACCGAGGGGTGACAATGTGAAGACACAGAAGGAAGAAGGCCATACGAAGACAGAAGCAGAGATTGGAGCCACGAGGCCACAAGCCAAGGAACGCCCGGGGCTACCAGAAGTGGGAAGAGACAAGGAAGCATCCTTTTTTAGCGGCTTCAGAGGGAGCGTGACTTTGCCTGTGCCTTGATTTTGGACTTCTACCTTCTAGAACTGTGAAACAACAAACTTCTTTTTTTTTTTGTTTAATTTTTTTTTTTCAACGTTTATTTATTTTTGGGACAGAGAGAGACAGAGCATGAACGGGGGAGGGGCAGAGAGAGAGGGAGACACAGAATCGGAAACAGGCTCCAGGCTCTGAGCCATCAGCCCAGAGGCCGACACGGGGCTCGAACTCACGGACCGCGAGATCGTGACCTGGCTGAAGTCGGACGCTTAACCGACTTGCGCCACCCAGGCGCCCCGAAACAACAAACTTCTATTGCTTTGAGCCACCCAGTTTGGGGCACTTTGTTCGAGCAGCCTTCGAAAACTAATATGTAAGTGTTGTCATTTTCTTATATTTTTTAATCCAATGTTATTGGATACCTATTGTGTACCAGACTCTGTGCTGAGCTCTAGAACTCAGACCCAAAGCTACAGGTTGATACAAAACAAATCAAAGACCTGAGCCCTCTGATGAGTTTCTATGCTCATTCTGTCGAGTCTCAGGCTCTCCCCCAGCATCCTTACGCCCAGACACCCCCACCCCCACGCCCATCCGTCACCACTGTCTGGTCTGTGCCCGTTCCCACAACTGGCTGAGACGTAGGCAGTGCTGGGCCTAGAAGCAGCTTGGGAGATCTGATCCAGCCCCGTGGCTTTCCAGGTGTACCACCTGAGGTTGAGAGGGGTCACCCTACCAGTCAAAAGGCAGCATTGAACTCCAACACGTCTTCTCACTCTCTGACTCTGATTAAGTCATGTTATGAATAAATTCAACAAACAACAAATGTTTGTCGAACGAACACTAAATTATTAATCCCTGATAACGAGAATATGTTCTACCTCCCAGAGGTATTTGAATGTGCAACAATGCCTTAACCCAGAGGAGTGCGTTTCGGATCGCGGAGGGTGGGACTGAAGGTTGGGGCGGGCAAAGCAGGACAGGGGGACCCGTGGGCAAGGGTAGGGTCTTTCACTGACCTCATATCTCATATCCTTAAAGCAACTTCGGTGTCTGCTCAGGACAGAATGGCGACCACGGAGAACTCTGGACGGGGCGGAGGAAGAGATTGCTCCCTTCTGTACTTTGAGCGGCAGCAAAGGGCTATGACCATTGCCCTCCTGGATGCAGAAGGAGGCACTGGCCTCATTATATGCATACACCATGACTGCTGTCTTAAACTCCAATACTGCTGAACAATTCAGAAATAGATCCATTATAGGTCTGCTTTAGCCCCAGGGCTTTAACACGGGTCACTAGAAAATCCAAGATTGCACAGTAATTCAAACTCTTAAGAGGGAAAGGAAAAAAAAAATTCTCTTCAGCACTCCCGCTCGCCCAGAGTCCCTCCCTCCAGCATCACAGGGAGCCCCTCTTCATTTCCGTAGTGCTTTAGAATAAATAGCTCTTATGTTGAACTTGAAATCTAAATTTTTCGCCAGCTATTAATTGATAAGAGAAGCTCGTTTTACCTCTTATGCTCTGTAGTAAGATTACGGTGTAAATAAACTGGGTCAGGTTTAGCAGGATGGAGGTGAACTGTTCTCTAATTCCCCTTAATCTCTGGTAAAGGAATAACTAGGATTTGAACGTCAACATTCAATAAGCAATTATGGCACTCCTTCAAGCACGATCCAAATTAGTCTGCTGTTCCCTCAAATAGAATCCAAAGGACCTCCAAACCGTGCTCTTCGATTGCAACCTCCTTGTTTTGTTCTAACCGGTGAGAGGAGTCAGGATTGCAGGAGGGATTTGATTTGATTTATATTAATTTTTAGAGTATCAGGGATCTCTTGTTTTACTTGAAACAGATCAGGGAACGGGGTCAGTAAACAAGGGTTTTCTCGACTACTGATCTCGACTACTGATCACTGATCTCGACTACTGATCTCTCAGCATTTCATGAGGCTGGCTTCTAGCTTTCACAGTGCATTAGAATCATTATCTAATTATTAATCTCACCCTAGAGTTCTGAGGAGCTTATGACACCCGTTGAAGTTAATGAAGGCTTTTACCTGTGGATCTGGTACTAAATCGCTGTGATTGACCGAGTGCCCACAATATGGTAGGCACTGATAGAATTGACAGAAGGGAAAAAGAATTAAACGGAAGGAAATTAAGAAGAGGAAGAAGGAGAAGGCGTCAGAGAGGAGGAGGGGCGAGAAACCAAAAGGAGATTGTAACTTCAAAACACCTCGTTAGGAAAATGGGGCAGTTAAGGAAGGACTCACCAAGTAATCTGCTTAAACTTTAATTAATTATTCATTTATATATATTTATGTGGCACACTTTCTCTAGGGAAACCAATGTGCTTTGCAAACATATTAAATAATTAACTCCCTCAAATCTGAGTGGAAAGGGAGCAAAATTACTCCAGAAAAGGACCGGCGGGTTGATGAGTGATGGATGCGTCTCGCTTTGAAGAGGCGACCCATGTGATACCCACCAGAGACTGCATAACAAAAGACCGCTTCTGGGGGGTAACTATGGGTACTATGGTGATCCCTCCCTCCACCTTCCAGAAGAAGCAGCTTTTGCTTATACAGATAATGATGCTACGGAGAGAGACAAACAGGAAGACGCATACATTGATATGATACAGAAATCCAGTATGTTTTGAGGAAGGGTACTATTAGAAGAAAGTCAAATGGAGTGCATTTTTTAATAAAATACTGCCTTTGAGACAAAAGTTAAAGTTAGGACGTATTTTGAACCAAGAACATTGAACATGGCATTAAGTAAAATGAAATTGCAAAGGCCAAATGATGAGCAGCAGCATTTAGTAAGTTGTGTTTAAACAGATGTTGAATTCCTGAAATTACATCCTCAATGCATCGTTGACAGGACACTATTTAAAAAAAAAAAAAAATACCTTTAGCACAAGTGGTTTCAACATTTCTCTGGAAAGTAGAAATGTATCTGCCAGAGCAGTGGAGGTCAAAAACAAACAAAAAACTTAGGAAATTAAGAAAACACAAACTAAAAAACAAGAAGTGAAAGCGGCAGCTGTTCGGAGGCAGTGAGCATGGCCGAGGGGTGAGCGGGGCAACCATACAGGCACCAGAAGATTCGTGCCTTCTTGGGTCCAGCACTGTTGGGCAGTTGCAGGAACAACCTTATGTTCACTGCATCTCAAAACTAGTAAATTGGAATGCACCCACGCAGGAGGACAGACGTGGTCCTTGGAGAGGTCATGGTCATTAAAACTGCAACATGCATTTGTTCGTGTGCATATGGCCGGAGGGCTCGGCACCTGGCAGCTGAGGCTGAGACTTGGCCAAGTGACCTGTGGGAAGTTTCAGCGTGGGAAAGAGACCAGTGATTAACAAGACCGGCCTCCTTACCTTTTTAAAATGAAAGATCCGCCTTACCCCAAGACCACTAGCAAGAAATTAAAATAAAAAAGAGGAAGGGTGGTGAGTCCAAGGGAAGAAACTTTTTTTTTTTATTTTATTTTTAAAATGTATTTATTTAACTTCAAGTTAGTTAACATACCGTGTAGTATTGGTTTCAGGAGTAGAAACCAGTAGCTCATCACTTACATACAACACCCAGTGCTCATTCCAACAGGGCCCTCCTCAATGCCCATCTCCTACCTTTTCCCTCCTGTGACCACCCCCCGCCCTCCTCCATCAACCCTCAGTTTGTCCTCTGTATTTAAGAGTCTCTTACGGTTTGCCTGCCTCTCTGTTTTTATCTTATGTTCCCTTCCTTATAAGGGAAGAAACTTTTTTTTTTTAATTTTTTTTTTTTTTAACGTTTTTTATTTATTTTTGGGACAGAGAGAGACAGAGCATGAACGGGGGAGGGGCAGAGAGAGAGGGAGACACAGAATCGGAAACAGGCTCCAGGCTCCGAGCCATCAGCCCAGAGCCCGACGCGGGGCTCGAACTCACGGACCGCGAGATCGTGACCTGGCTGAAGTCGGACGCTTAACCGACTGCGCCACCCAGGCGCCCCTCTTTCCTTTTTTTTTTTTTAAGTTTATTTATTTTTATTTTGAGAGAGAGGCAGAGAGAGAAAGAGAGAATCTGAGCAGGGCAGGGGCAAAGAGAGGGAGAGAGTGAGAACCCCAAGCAGGCTCTGTGACCGCACAGAGCCTGACACGGGGCTTGAACTCACAGACTGTGAGATTATGACCTGAGTTAAATTCAAGAGTCAGATGCTTAACCCACTGAGCCACCCAGGCTCCCCTCTTTCTTCCTTCTTTCCTTCCTTCCTTCCTTTCCTCCCTCCCTATTTTTCTTTTCTTTTCTTTCTTTCTTTCTTTCTTTCTTTCTTTCTTTCTTTCTTTCTTT